GGGGTTCGGTGCCTTGCTCAAGGGCACCTCAGTCGTGGTATATACCACAGTCGTGGTATATATATATATATATGCAAACAAATATATTTATAGTTTTTTTCTTGTTTTCTTAACAATAATATAATGACCATATGTGACCCTGGGCCACAAAACCAGTCTTAAGTGTCAATTTTTCAAAATTTAGATTTATACATCACCTGAAAGCTAAATAAATAAGATTTCCATTGATGTATGGTTTGTTAGGATCGGACAATATTTGGCCGAGATACAACTATTTGAAAATCTGGAATCTGAGGGTGCAAAAAAATCTAAATATTGAGAAAATCATCTTTAAAGTTGTTCAAATGAAGTTCTTAGCGATGCATATTACTAATCAAAAATTAAGTTTTGATATATTTACGGTAGGAAATTTACAAAATATCTTCATGGAACATGATCTTTACTTAATATCCTAATGAGTTTTGGCATAAAAGAAAAATCTATAATTTTGACCCATACAATGTATTGTTGGCTATTGCTACAAATATACCCCAGCGACTTAAGACTGCTTTTGTGCTCCAGGGTCACTTATGTGAGTCACTCTATTATAGTTTTTATTAATATATTTTAAATTAACTTTTAATTTTCAGTACATATATATTTCAATTTTTTTATATATTATATTCAAATGTATTTTTATTTCAGATTTAGTCATTTTGAAACTTCAACTAAAACTTATTTCAGTTAGTCGCCAAGGTTTTCAGATTTAGTAATTTTTTACTTCAACTAAAACTTATTTCAGTTAGTCACCAAGGTGCCGTTTTGATTTAATTTTCATTAGGTTTTTTTTTTTAGTTTATGTTTTCATTTAATATGTATTTATGTATGTATGCATGCATTTATTTAATTTAATTTAATAATTTATTTTATTATTTTATTTAAATGTATTTTATTTTTCTATTTATTTATTTATTGTTTAATTTTTATTTTATTTAATTTCAGCTTTATGTCAATTACAGAAAACAAATTTTGCTTGTCAGTTTTTGTTACCAATAATAAGACAATAACAACAATTCTATTTTTTTTAATTAATTACATTTATTTCTATCATTACAGATTGTATATGTATGTTCCACAGTTCATCAATTATGAAACAAATTTAATTAATTTATAAAGCATTTCTACAGAAGACAGCAGTGTCATTATTCAGTTGAGTGTTGATTCAATTCAGTTGAATAACAGTGTCACTGGTGCAAAATTCATCAATTATGAAACACATTGAATTAATTGATAAAGCAGCTCTACAGAAGACAATAGACAATTAAATTCAGTTCAAGTTTTGTTCTCATCAAATTGCTAAAATCTGAATGTTAATTAACCAGAATATGGTTAATTATGGCTTAATAATATAACATGTTCAGTAAGTGTTTATCTGCTGTGTGCAGCTGTTGGATGGCGTGGGAGCCGAGTCTGGGGGCCTTCTACGGCCCCGTGGGCTTCATCGTCCTGGTGACCTGCGTCTACTTCTTGTGCGCCCTCATCCAGCTGCACAAACACCCCGAGCGGAAATACGAGCTGAAGGCGGTGAGCAAGGAGCAGCAGCGGCTCTCTGACGTCCACCAGGGGGAGCCGGCGAGCGTTCAGTGTCACGGCGGCTGCCCGGGTCTCATCAACCC